ATAGTTGGGACATATAGTTGGGACATATAGCTGGGACAGCAAATGCTTGGGACATAGGAAATGGACATCACTGGTTATAGGTGGTTGATATTGCACTGTCTTCAACTATTGTGGTGTCTATATCACAACTAGGGTTTGGAGGCTGGAGTTCAATTCTCTGGGTGATTTTGACATATGGCTTGGCAACTATAGTGTAGGCTATCATCTTAGGTTGTCATGACTCTTTTTTCAGTAGTTGTGATGAATGTGAATAAAGAGGGGTATTATGTATCTGAATAACATAGGCAGTTTGGGGTCTTGGCAATCTATTCCTTGCGGTAAAATCATGCTGTGTCTTAGACATCCATTCACCTTGGTTTCGCAAATTCACACTGAGTTTAAAAGTACTAAAGAGGAATATAGTGGTCATGTCCATATGCTTAAAATAAGACATATCACTTCTATAGAATAGTGCACACAAGGCGTGACAGTATCAACTGCGCAATTCAAGTAAAATCAAAAAAAAAAGATCTCCTTCACTAAATATAAACTCATAGATCTGATGTCCATAATACTAAAGTTGATTTGCTCACAAAAGATTGCAATTCAGCCAATATTCTATTTTATGATATTAAAGCCATTGGATACAAACACATATTCTGTTATCAATAAAATTCAGTTTATGTTTCACCTCACTTTTTTCTTAAAGAGGTTTGCTAAGCTGTATCAGGGACGATGATTTTATGCTATTACATAATATCACATTAAATGCATAATTATGCGATAAATGCATAATTCAAGTTAATCGTGTTATAAAATCACATAATTTAAATTATACCTTAACAGAACGCATAATCCGCAGTAAAATATATTTAATTTATTATGATCTGCAAAGTACGGGATTATCAGTTCGATAATATTTTTTTCTTTTACAATGTCAAAAAAAACCCATATCAATTCACGCTAGATGTAATGAATATAAAAACATTTTCTGAGTTGATGATAATATTCTCTTTTGTAATTATTGCAATGTTTCTATGAATTGGAAGCGCAAATCTACTGTAAATAATCATTGCAAAAGTCAAAAATACATTTTTAATGTAAAAAGTCAAGAAAATCTCAAAATAATAATACATAACTTACCCTTTCGTCCACTCAAGCGGCTGCTGAAGCAAAAAAACAACTTATTGAAGATTTTATAGAAGCATTTGTAACAGCAGACATTCCTCTTGAAAAGGTCAATTCACTACTTTTATTTTTTAAAAAACATGTTAAAAATGGTGGTTCTATTCCTCAAGCTCCTACTCTTAGACAAAATTATCTACCTAATGTTTTTGACAAGCATTTTCAGTCACT